ATATTCTCAATTCTCATTACTTTTTAAACCCGCGCGCACATGTGCACAAGGGTATTATAATTTTGTTCACATAACGGTTGTTTGTAACAGCCAAAATGAATCAAGACAGATATAGAAAAATGTATACATAAGTGATCAGAATGAAAAGAGAAGTCGATTAAGCCATGGGCTCCGCCCACTTATGACCACCAATATGAATCTCGGTAATTGGTGCACCTTATAATCTTGGTACGGAAAAGCAATTTGTTGCAAATTATTCATATCGGGCTAAACCCCCTTCCCGTATAACGGTAAATTTCAAAAAATACGAAAACTCCGATATTTCAAAAACTGATAACACTAATTTACTCGAAGTTAATACTTGCAACAGTCTCTTAACAATAAACAAGACAGATAGACATTTAGGAATTGGGCGTGGCACCGCAAATACAATAATAATAATCATAGATTGGCGCTTACACATATAATAGTGTTGGGCCGAGTTTCTCCTCCGACTTGTGGCGTGCGCCTTGATGTTGTCACACAAAACGGAGGGACCTACAGTTTTACGCCGACTCCGAACGGCGATTGTATTTTTATGAGAAGCTGTTTTTCATGGCTGAAATACACTCGGAGGTTTGCCATTGCCTGCAGAGGGACGACCGCTGTTAAACCTTTCTATATTTTCCTTTTTCTATATTTTTTTGCGATGTTCCTTTGACCAGGACTTGAACCCAGGTGTTGATGAGTGAAAGCGCAAACTGCTTACCACTACACCTATTATTAGGATGTTTAACTTTTTAGGTGTGCTCGTCCTTAAGTTATTTGTTTTTTTTTTAGTTATCTTATGGCCTTATAACAATTACATTAAACCATTTTTATTGAGCTCGAGGCCGTTTTTTAATGAACGCAGTGCATAGGCAACTGGCTGAGTCAGTGGGATCGTCGGTTCGAATCCTACTGAAAGAAGTCTGATGAGGAAATGTGGTGATTTCCTAAATGGCTATCACTTCTACCATTTTTTCAAATTATTGTTGCTTTTCCACAATAAATTTTCATTAAATAACGGTCTCGAGCTGAATAAAAATTGTTGAATATATTTGTTATAAGGCTATTTTTTGACTATTTTCATTTTTGTTATGCGAACACAATCAAGTGTAGCTATTCCAGCTATTTACAAGGCGTACTTAGCACGGTGCATAGGCAACTGGCTGAGTCAGTGGGATCGTCGCTTCGAAGCCTACTGAAAGAAGTCTGATGAGGAAATGTGGTGATTTCCGAAATAGCTATCACTTCAGCCATTTTCAATTTATTGTTGCTTCTTTCCACAATAA